TTCTCATTCTTGTTTTATTTCTTTGCATTTTTTGTTGTTTTTTAGAAATGGTGTAGGGTTATTAAGTGCTTCATATTCTGGATTTTTCCAGTTGTGTTAATATCAATTTGTTTCCTGTTCCCTATGTTTTTTGTAAATTAGTAGATCTAGAGACATGATGTAATTCAGATTTGATTGGAGACCAGAAAAAGACATCAGGAAGAAATACTTTGTAGGTGGTATTTAAGAAGATAGACTGGTCTTCCGCTGAGTTTGTAAAATGGTTATTTTGAAACAATGGATACTTAAATATGGGTGAACTTTGTGTGCACGCGCACACCCCTATATGCCAGCACTGGGCTTAAACTGAGGGCCTGGGCACTGTCCCTTAGGTTTTTTGCTCAAGGCTAGCACTTTACTGCTTGATCCACAATTCTACTTACAATTTTTTTGATGGTTAATTAAAGAGTCTCACAGACTTTCTTGGGGCAGCGGCTAGCTTTGAATTGTGATCCTGTGATCTCAGCCTTCTGAGTAGCTACAATTCGGTTGTGAGCCACTGGAGCCTGGAAATACTGGTGACCTTTATTTATTTGTGTGTGTGCATGTGTATGCTGGTACTAAAACTTGAACTTGGGGTCTTTCAGTCTTGCTTAGTTTTTTCCACCGAAGGCTGTTGCTCTACCACTTGAGCCATACCTCTACTTCTGGCTTTTAGGTGGTTGTTATCAGATTTGTCTGACTGGGTTGGCTTCAAGCCTTGATCCTCAGATTTTAGTCTCTTGAATAGCTAGAGTTATAAGCATGTACTATTGGCATGTAAATTTATTCTAAATAAATTATGAAGCTGGGTGCTGGTGGCTCATGCCTGTAATCCTAGCTACTCAGGAGGTTGAGATCTGAGGATCATGGTTCAAAGCCAGTCCAGTCAGAAAAGTCCCCATGAAACTCTTATCTCCAATTAACCACTCAAAAACCTAGACCCTGAGTTCAAGCTCCATGACCAACAACAACAACAAAAATTGTGAATAAATTATAACTATTGTATTGAAAGATTTATAGTAGGATGAATCTTTTCTTTTTTCTTTTTTTTTTTT